CATTTCCGCATTTCCGACAAAAACAAAACCCTCCACTTATTAAAACAGTACACGGAGTGCAGCAAATCGCCGGAGGAAGGTCTGTGGTCCTGAGGGCCGGGAGTGGCGGGAGGTCACAATCTGCTTCCTCTGGTCCAGGGGTCACTGAGGAACAGGGCCGCCACGGAGAAGAAGGCCAGCAGCAGGCCCTTGGCCACACACCGAGCGTAAGGCTCCCCTGCAAGACAGTGAATCTAGTAAGCCAGGCTCTTCCTGCTCAACTTGCTTGTAATTATTGAGATAGAAATCAGCCAAACCATTAACAAAGGTCTTTTTTTAAAATTGATTTTGAGAGAGAGAGAGAGAAGAAGGGAAAGGGAGAGAGAGAGAAACATTGAAGTGAGAGCAAAACATCCATCAGGGGACTGAGCCCGCCAGCCGGGCAGGTGCCTGACCGGGAATCGAGCCGGCAACCTCTCGGCGCTCAGGACGCCGCCCAGCCAACCGAGCCACACTGGCCAGGGCCATAGCCATCATTTTTAAGTGGCAACATGATCGGTACATTTTCTTTTTAAAATTGTACACAGGACATAACAATACCCATTCCGGAAACCGGCTGTGCCCTACCTTGGTAATACCGGGTCCAGGGATACAGAAGCTGTGGCCAACACACATCGTTTCTGTTACAATCATACTCTGTGAAATTGATCTGGAATCTAGAAAACATTTTAGAAGATTACAGTAGCTGCCACAAAGCATCCTTTTGGTGAGAAGTATCGAAAGTTAAAGAAATACATTTACTTTCAAAGATCTATATTTTTCTTCCTAAAAAATACCAACCAGGTCAGGGACCTACCTGGTCAGGGGCCGGGGGAGCCGGGCAGGGACCTGAATGAACTGGACGGAGGCGCTGAGGGGGAAGAGGCCGACCTGCTCACACGTCAGCCCGCACTGGGGCCGCCAGGTCACCGAGGAGACCCTGTAGGAGAGGTGGCACAGGTAGCACGCCGGCTCACTCCCAGTCACCTGAGGACTTCAGGCAGCTGACAACAACATAACCCAGGAGTCTCTCAAAGACCTTA